CACACACACACACACACACACACACACACACAGCCACTGTAGATGCTTCCAGTTGTTAGGATATGAAGTTTACATTAAATATACATCTGCTTGAATATATATTACACACAGGACGTCCTGCAGGTTCACTGGTTATTTTAGGGTAAAAGTGTTCGAGGTTGGTATCAGAGGCTGCTTCGTTCTGTTCTGTAAAACGTATACTTGTCTGTAGAGGAACTTAAACACAAAGGTAAAGATTTACATTTTATTACAAATATACTTTATCGGGTGATGCTTTACCACACATTTAATATTTTTTAATTGTTTCTTTTTCTCGTCAGTAATTTTATTAAAATTGCTATCTACCTTGTTTATTACACAGGTGTCAGATATGTGGTATGACTTGTAAACAGAATTATGACGCTAGAATATGTTTTTATTTTGAAGAAATTCAGCATTTCGAATGTCCTTTCAATGTTGTTGTGTCTTTCCTGCTGACCTCGGAGCTAAGTGTTGCAGAATACATTCAATACAATCAAGTCGTCATGTTGTGATGTCACATTTTTCAAACGCCAACCAGGAAGTCGCCATGGAGGTCCTCAGTGATTTTTCTAAAGTACTTTGATTCAACTTTCTCAACAAAAGTGAACCCGAATGAATCATTTCTGTGCTGGTTTTGACTGGAAACACCAATAGTTAAGATGTCAGCTTATAATGAGCTACTATGGTGTTTATTCAGCTGAACAACATTGTCTTTTTGTAAACATTGATTTGTCACACCAGCTTACATGAAACAAGATGTGGAGCCCACATACTGTTGTTCTCCCGTGCAAAATAGGATCTCACAACGACGCAGAGAAACATAAAGGCGGCATGAAGCTGAGATTTGCAGCATGACGTTGTTTGTTTTTTTTGTCAAAAACTGATACCGTACTTGGGAGCCATGCATGAGCACCCAAGAGCCCTGAAGGACAAATTGAACTGCCGTTTGTGAAAGATGATGCTGTCACCTTTCGCAGTTCACCTTTAAGCGAATTAGCTTTTGTGAAACGGGCCCCGCTCAGCTGTTTGGAGCCAGAAAAATCCATATTCCTTATGAATCAAGCGAGGTGACGAGTTCAATGCTGATGAAGCCTATTGCCGCCGAGGAAAGCTCTCTCTGCACTCACAGTGTACCGGAGGTGTGGTGTCTGGCGTTCGTGGCTACAAGTGTTTTTTACATGAAAATGTGCATTAAAATATTTGGATGGAAACACTGTCTGGCTGCTTTAAAGCGTGAAGCTTTCGCAGCTTCTCTCCAGTTTGTCCCGAAGCTCAAAACATCACTTCCTGTTGGAGATGAATCACTTTGCACGGGAGAAACACAGGGAGAAGACTTTGCGTTGCGTCTCTGACCTGTGATTTTGTTTTTGGATGTGCATGCTCTTACAATTCAGTACAAAATGTTGATTTTTTTTATGATCACACACTGGAATGTTTAGGTGTTACTTTAAACAACTACAGTAGATCTCCAGTAGACCTCCATGATGGTGGCAAATGTGGTCAGCAGACAGACTGGGACGGCGTTCTCCAACTGTATATTCCCAGTTTGGAAGACACACAATGAAAAGGTAAATCATGACTGTTTGGCAGGTTGTAGAAGAGAAGACATTTCCATCTTTCATAGGAGCTGGACACATGTTCAGAGACTCGTTCACCTGGGATTGTTTGCATCCATATGGTTCATATTTGACACTAAATTATGTTTTTTTTCCATGAGTGGTTTCAGTTAGTCAGCCCTGAACTCCACTGAGTCACTCAGCTGTTGTTCTGAAAGTTGCTATATAAGTAAAACTGGTACCAATGGCAGACAGTACATGCACCGTATAGATCAGTTAGTCTTTAAATGTTCACATGAAGAGTTTTGTTCCAAAGTGAGGTGACAAAAAAAATACATAAAAATGTCTGACTTGGGAAAAATGTATTTACAACAATGCAGCATTATGGAATCAAACTCGAACGCTTTGTCAGTGTCTTTATAATTCTGTATTTTCTTGGACTAATAAGATGAATTCTCTCACTGACTTTGACTGATGTTTTATTTATTTCTGCCAAAGCCACCTCTTCCATTAAAAACCCCAATGTATTGCTTCTTATCGTGTGCTTTGAGGATTTGGACACTGAATTACTTTTTTATTTTTATTATTAATATATATAATTTGCTTGAAATGAATGCATACCTTTGAGTTGGTGATATTTAATTTCCACATCACTGTTCTTTGATTGTACAGTTACAGGAGGAGCTGTAGAGACCAAACTACAAACTGAATTGTGAAGTTATTATGGAAAGCCGGTTTATTATAGGAGCAAAACAAACTGTTCAGTTAGCAGGTGTTAAATGTATAAATGTCCTCAAAGACAATTTTCTGAAATGCATCATGTAAAACGAGCAAAATAAATATGGACACGCGTAGATTTTCTCACATTTCCCTCTTTTTGTGTCTCACCACTTCACTTGTTGCCGTCCTTTAACGATGACGCAGTGAGGCGGCGGTTTGATGTTGAGACGTAACGAACTGCAGCTGCAGAGAATCAGCGATCAAGACTACGACCTGTTTCCTGAACGCAGAGGAAATTAGATTAAAACATTGACAGTAACTGTTGATGAATGTCTATAAAGAGATGTGTTGCAGGCAGCAATTAATTGCCCTCCAAACACATTTCCTCTATAGTTCTAGCTTGTAAGGAATCCAAAGAAAGACACAGTGATGGCCTCACACGTTTCTGCAAATATTTATTGAAATTCTGACTCACAAAATGCATTCTGGTGATTCCACATATCACCACGGCAGACGTCCTCAGTAGAGTCACTTAGGTGTTTGAAAATGTTGACACACTTTATCATACGTGCAACAGGTAGTTCATACCGTCTCCTTATGAAAAACTGTTCAAATTATCGCCCACATTACAGTCTGATGATATTTAACAACACAAAAAAAAGCAAACCAGTGTATGACTTCCTATTTGTCCGTTAGAGCTAATGAGGTGAACCGTCTCCGGAGAGCAACAAATAAAACAAACTATTATCTACATTCTCCAGACAGCATCTGACTGACTGTTGTGTGAATTACAAATTTAAACATGTGTTCCTGTAAATTACACCATCACTCAAATGACATCAGAAACATTCACAAAGTAAGTGATCTCTCTAAAAGAACCAAACAACCTCAAAACATATTTGTTCATTGGATAAAATTCCCTCTTCTCACTTTAGCAATTAATCTGTTCTTGTTGCAACACAATCATAATTCCCACTGACTTCAAAGTGGCAATCTCGAAGATTTTCAGTTCAATAAATGTCTTTTAAGTCCGTATCTATCTATCTAACACAATGCTGAGTGAGCCTAACCAAAAGGTATTGCAACATGTATGCATTTGCAGTGTTATGCCTGTGGTGAAATGGACCTATGCACATAACAATAGCTTGTTAGTTTGTCATTGGACGCAGCCAAAGACTCCAGACTGCTAAACGATCACTTTTGTTTTCACTCACACTTCTAAATCAACCAGGACGGACATCTTAAAGGATTGACACTTTAAACCTTGAAACTAATGATTTCATTCACAAAAACAAGCCCGATGGCATTCATTTACACCTTTTTAAAATCTTCACAAAGTTCATTCAAACGTAGTTTTAAAGCATTTACTCTGGAACTGCAGCAGCAGGTTCCTCGTTTCCCTCCAGGGTTCAGAAACCTGGTTTTAAATCCCCTAAATCCTCCTCAGAGGAAGCTAGAAAACCAACAAATCACTGCGGTGTAAACAAGAGTCACATACGGTGTGATACAAAGCACACATGGAGCTGGTTTCCCTCTGTTTTTACGCTGCTTGCTGGTGGACACGTGATATAGTGAGTTAATGAAGCAAACACAGTGAGTGTCACTCCACAAAGCACGTTGGTCTGACATTAACTTAACCTCATGTGTTCTATCAGCCTGGTCTCCTACAAAGTCACGTTCCCGTGCAACAAAGCTGCATCGTCAGCAACGTTGTATTCTCCCGAATTACGTTTGCATTCAACGTATCACAAATACGTTCAATCAAAGTCTTCGGAAGTCTGAGGTCAGGGTGGATGGATGAGTCCAACGTACTCATTTTAAAGTTAAGTAAACTAGTTCACGCAAACATTTATGAATGCTATGACATTTGTTGTATACAGTTCAGTGACAATTCTCTAACATTGCTAATATCAAGCAGCTGCCGAGCAGCTGATGTTTCATGGCCTCCAGACAGCAGAGCAGCCACCTACTGCTGCATGGAATATGACACATTTATCATAATAATAATTCCTCTATAAACAAAAGCACCTGAAGTCGACACCTACGCCAGGTGCGATTTTAAACAGCACACACATGCTGCAGGTTCCTTCTGTCAGATCTCATGAAACATGAGGACTCTTCACACAAACCTTTCTCAGGCCCGTTGACCTGAACCCTGCAGGGGCGACAGAAAGCGGCCCCAGGCCTTTCTTAACTTTATTCACACTTGGACTCATTAACTCCGAGTTTAGATCAAGCCTCAGGTTAAAATGTTCACCTACAAAATCAGTTCGCCAACAGCCAATTGAGATTGCTTTGTTTCTAACACACCAGTGACTTTAAAGGTGCATTCAGAGTGAACACAAAGCGCGTTTTCTCGCTTTCTTGTGTGACCACAAATATCCCAAAGACGAACTCCTCGGGGGCTAGCCGTTGCTGTTAGCATGGTAGCGACGTTAGCATAACAGGAGCTCCAGTTCTCTGTTATTGAGTCATGCAACTTGCAGGATGAGTGCAAATTTCTCGCTGGAGCGGAAGCTTTTTCAGATGTTTGCGCTGCACAGATTGAACTGTTTCCTTTGACTTTGCATGCATTTGCATCGCCTCTGAAATGAGCTTTGGGTTCAGTCTGAACACACCTTAAGACTTTCTGGGGGATAACACCCTTTTGGTTCTTTGTAGTCAAGTTCGGTAAGACAAAAAAGCTAATTTCCGATAATGCTCAGCAACAAGTTTCGCAGCGGCAACAAGGCAGCGTTGTTACTCAGCTGCAAAACCAGAGCGAGTGAGGTAACTGAAAATATGACAAAGTATCCGGCTTTGTAAGTAAGCCGGTGATTAACAAGACATTTATCCACTGAAGCAGACATCACAGCGTCTCTTTAGTTGGTCACATCGTCAAGTTGACCCGTGCAGCCTCCCCGTCTCTCGACATGTTGAATAACTGGTGGGCTACAGAGGGCCGCAGGGTGAGCCCTAAAAACAGGAAATGAGTGCATTTTGGCACTTTCGGCTCCCTCGACTCCAAGCCAATGTGTTTTTTTATTGGGTTTTTGCTTAGAAGCCTGAAATAAGGTTTTTTGGTTAAAACAAGCTGAAGAGATTTTAACGATTTGTTCTATGATAAAAAAATATGTCAGTAAATGTCCCAATTTACACGTCTTAAAAAAAAAGGCAGTTGCTAACAAGCGTCTGAATGAGACGACTAAACGTCCTCACTAGAACACTAGTCCTCCTTTAGCTTAGCGGTGGAGACGTCATGTGACCGTGGTGGAGCTCCTCTATAGCCTAATGTTAGCTTTTTACTTCTGATGATCTTACTTTCGCTTCACAAAATCTTAAAGGTGGTGTTCTTTGTGACGATCTTAAAGAACAAAACATGTAAGTATCATAAACGTTTGTTTGACACAGCGATTCATTTCTGCAATAATGCAAAATCCAACAGAAGAAATCTCATTGGCTTTTTGTGGAGGGAACGAGCGCGATGCTAACTTCCTGTTGGACTACAAGAATAGGTCGTCCCTGCAGCTCTCTATTTATTTACCTCAACTTCAAACAGTTTGAGATCCGTCTGATCAAACAGGCAGAAATATGACGCCATTGATTCAACAAACCGCACTTCATTCAGACGAACAAAGCTGATTTGTCATCCACAATTTGCAGGTCAAGATTTGCATGGGAAAAAGAGATGAAACGCCAATCATACAAAAAAAAATATCAGCATTCAAATCATGAATTATTTGTGGTATTTGATGTACTGCATGTAAGCGTTAACCTAAGCCATTAGTTCTGCCTCTTTAAAGTCAAATGGACATTTAAATTTGCAACTTATTAACGAGTCAGTGTCTGGAAATGAAAACCAAAGCATGTCTTACAAACTGTAGCGTGTCCGGCAGGTTCATACTGTGAGACGAGCTCACCTTCCTTTTCGCTGCTGCCTGATATTAGGTCTTGTAGAAGAAGATAATTCCTCATCATCATCCCTCAACAACATTTGCCATGTTGATGAGACTCACCATCAGAGACGGGGAGGCCGCTTGGATCAAAATGTGGGAGCTCCTGGGATCATTTGACCCTCCAAACGTTTGCATGCTAATCTGTTGCAGATGCAGCAAAACACACCTTGTTACGGTTCGCAGGAAATAAAAGACAGAAGCCGTCGATCGCAGCTCTTATTGTGAAATATGCAGGAAGCCCCTTCAAGTAATATTTTATCCCATTCAAATAAAAATACTAAACTATTCTGTTTCTCTAATTTCTTTAATCCTGATCTATTTTCCGTTAACATCTGATGCAAAACACTATCTCAGTTTGCACTTTATTATTAGCTTTGTTCGTGCATTATCGGTTTTGTATTTATTACTACTATGTGTTTCTCACTGTGCATAACTGAAATGCCTCTAAGTACAAAAACAAATGTAGGGAATAATAGAAAGCTTATGTTAAACCTGACTGCAGAAGTAAAAGGTGTGTACGTTTATTTACGCCTAAAGTACAAATACAAGTACAATACTTTACGAGTTACCACATAGATGCTTCCTTGTTTGGATTTTGGCGATATAATATTTGATCTGAGCAAGGCATGGCAGTGAAGCATCAGCTGATAGGAAGATTGGGAATCATCAGCAGGAACCCCAGGAGCTCAACCACACGAAGAGGAAATAAATACATGAATAAATTAAAAGAGAAAATAGTTCCGTCCACTCTTATCTGTCTGTGGTTTCTCCTTCAGAATTGAAGGACTCCACAGATTTTTTAAAAAGCATCTCCTCCTGCTGGACTGGGAGAAGCAGCGCTTGTCAGATATGAGGAGAGACTTCAGGTTATTGCCCCGACGCCCTCGCTGCTCTCTGCTGCTGCTCCAACATGGACCGGATCGCCGGGGTCATCATGGCGGGGGACATGGCCGGGGTGAAAGGTCGCAAGGGGTACTGTGCCTTTTTACCAGGGACGTAAATGCACTGGAAGTATCTCTGACCTGTGAAGACGAGAAGGATGGAAAGGTGATCGGTAACGGGACGGTTTTAAACACAATCAGTAAAGAAATGGGGTGACGTTTGGTGCTTATTGTAACTCCTTTATATCCCGTTGGCTAGTTTACTTTGCATCATATTCTATAAGGTCCTGTGAGAACCACGTCTCTCTAAAAAGTCCTGTTTTCCTGTTTATTTAGCTGAAGAAGTAGGAGAATGTTCTCAACACATAAAGGAACACAAGGAAAACAGTTTCTAAAAATGATGAAATCTCAGCAACTCTTACTTGGTTTCTTCTTTTCCGTCGCGTCGTCATCAATCTGGGTTTCTTCTGTAAGGAATGTGATAAACACACAGTGTTATATATTGTCGGTGTGTGTGAGTGTGAGTCTGTGTGAGCGAGAGAGAAGACAAAGGATGACGTGCATGTAAATAGAAAAGAGAGAGAATAAAGGTTTCACTCAAACAAGCTGTTCTTTTGAATCCATGAGCTCTTTCACTCTCCTGTTAAAGTCCAGCTGAAAACAAAATCTAATGTTTCTATAAATCCACATCCTTCATATTAGTAATAAACATTTAAATGTAATTTTTCGTCCTATGTTTTGACATTCTTCCATCGACATAAATGTGTGAGTTTACCAGCTGGAAGCACAACAGCGATATCGTTACACATTTAAATGTCACAGTGAGGAGAAATGCAATTTCAGTTTGACTTTAACTGTCAAATGAAATTCTTTCAAACACTCTGCATGGGACCTTTTTCTATAAACTTCAGGTCATTTTCTAGAGAACTTGAATATTGGTTGGTAGTGTGTATAAAGTAGTTGCATCACAAAGATGGAACCCTAATCCCCCCAGAAAGCAGCAAATGAAACCTATGAGTTTTACATTAACCAGAGAAATCAAAGCACTTTTGATCAGAAAGAGGAAATACTGTGTCAGACGTTAATATCAGGCCAGTGAAGAGTCACTCGGGGCTGTGGGGGAGTGTTGATTCTCCACCGGATGACTCAATAAGAACAGGACACTAATAACCCAATTTAATGGGTTTTGCTTCATGGATTTAATCAATCCGACAAAGTATTATTGTTGCTGTATTCATCAAAGGCCATAATCTCCTCCGATGACTCCAGGCGGCTCAAAAAGGCCGCTAATCTCGTCTCAATCAGCTCGTCTCATTCAATTCTAATCACTTACGTCGTTAACGTCATTAAAGCAAAGTCGTATTGAGTCAACCAGAGGAGAGATGGTGGAAGTTAAGTGAATACCTTAAGCTTTACAGGAAGCTCTTTTTCCATTCTCTATGAACAACAAGCATAAAGTATACAACATGTGAACAAATGCTTCTTTAAGTCACCGTCTACAGGTGAATTATATACGCTCCTCATTGTTTCCACTCAGCTGATTCATTTACAATTAGTCGACCACGAGTTTATATTCCTTTATTCCATATTTATTTCTGAAATATTTTATCCCTATTTTCTGACTTTTTCGTACTATTTTATGTTTTAGCTTCTCTTCTTTTTTTACAACTGCTGCTGTTTGATGATAAATAACTTGAAACTGAAAGTATTAAATATATAAATATATATAAAGGACTATGTAACAAAAAATGTAAATTATGTGCATAATGATACAATATATCACACAAGTATGAAAAAAAGAATAAATGCAGTACTAATGGAAGTATTGATTCTCCTGTCATTTCACATCCCCTCCCTCCTGCCCTGCAGTAACACCTTTCCCATCACCTGATCTTGCCCCGCCCACCCGCACACCTGTTTTCCATTTCCCTCATCAGCCTTGCAGCATAAATTCCGGCCCATTTCCGCTCATTCCACGTCAGATTGTGTAGTCTACGTACACGCTGGCGTTTGCGCTGCAGGCCTGACCCCTTTTCCAACACGTTTGTTTGGTTCTTTGACTAAAGTAAATGTGAACTTTTATCTTGAACACTTAGTTTTGTGGCAACACTTTAACCCGACTGGGGTCTAATTAAAAACACCTTTGTTATGCCGGGTTCAGACTACACAACATCACACTGATGCACGCTAGATGACTGTTGATGACTTTATTTCGTGTAGTGGATAAAGAGACGAGTGTGTTTTGCCTTCTCGTGTTAGTTGTGACAAATCCCATGACATGTCCTGTGACATTAACCAATAGGAGCAAAGAGCGCTCAGCAACTGTTAGAACAAAGGGGAGTGACGTTGGTGAAACTATGACTCAGAGGAACAGTCACATCGGACGTTTCTTCTTTCTTTAGGCTTTTCCAAACACAAAAGGCCTTTCTGATTTCTATATTTATGATTTATGACAATCCGATAATATGACACGGTAATTATTTTAACAGACAGTGTAGTCTGAACCCGACATAAGTGTGGCGGCCTTTGACATCTTTTTGGAGAAACATAATACTGGAAAAAGAGATCTTTACTGTCCATGCTAATCATTCATTTTCCAAAAACATTTGTTGTGCCATCTGAAGCGTAACTTCTTTGTAAATAACGTTCATACTCACTAGCTGCTGACGGTTGTTTGTTTGTACATTCACTCTCTAGTTGTGGATCCATACCTTCAGCCTCTTTGACAGATTTCTTTTCAGCCTTCTCAGCTTTGCCTGCGAGAGGAGAGACGAGCCTTATTACATCCTGCCAAGAGAATGTGTGTAGTTGTGCTGTACATTCAATATTCTTGTAGTATAGTTCTCCTCTCAGAGTAATGCCGCTCGCCATGTCCCTAATTGGAACTTTATCATGCAGAAAACAGCCCATTTAATTTCATAATCTGTGACTATATTTCAAAGAAGTGTGATTTGTCCTTAAACGATGTAGAGGCGGAGTTAGTGGTGTTAAGTTGCATTTCTTAAGTACGGAAGTGGCTCAGCTTAAGTACGAAGTTGCGTGGCAAATAAATCAACGTTGACTTCTGGTTTCACGCGGGACACAAACAGTTGTCTCCTGGGTGAAAGTCCGGTGTTGCTTACTTTTCTTGTTCGCCAATAATTGTGATCTTGTTTTGGCTGGAATAAAATCAAAATGCATGTTTCAGAATGAGAGTCCTGCTCTGCCCGACAGGCCAGTGAAACCCCAAAGCATCATTTGTGTTGGAGAAAGTAACAGTGAGCAGTGTTACCTGGTTCAGACGGAGGTCGGGCAGGTTTCTCCTCCTTTGCCTGAGATGTTACGTTATCCCTCCGTACAGCTTCTAGTCTTGTTCTCAGTCTGATTGGCTCTGGATGCAGTTCTGGATCTGGTTCTGACAAATCAATACCTAGATTTAAATGTACGCTTGAAACAAATTCTGGTTTAGCGTCTGTATAAGATAATGCCAGTGAGAAATTGGTAAAATGTCATGTTAGTGAACTGGTGCATGTTCACAGTCGTACCTCTCTTTGCTGCAGAAGCCTTGACTTTGCTCCTGACGGGTGACGCTTCTGAGAGAAGCAAAAACAATCATTTTCCAATCATCTTTCCTGTCGCTGACAAGACTGATGATTGACTTTCCTGCTAATTAATGCAGATCTAAGTGTGTCATCACCTGTCTTCTCAGAGGCGGATTTCCTCTTCTGTCGCGCAGCTGGAGGCTCTGAAATAATGAGGAAAGAGTTGTGATTAGTGGCCTGAATCAAGTTGTGTTCTTAGTGAAATATTAGCTGCACCTTCACATGTAGGAGCCGGTGGATCAGTTTTCATATAACTTAAGATTGTTCATACTTTCTGTGACACCCTCTTAATGATGTTTTACCTTTCTTATCAGCTGCAGCAGGTTTGCTTTTCTCGTTTACAGCTGGCTCTGTAATTCACATTATGATGATTATTTCTCAGTCTTCTCATAAACTAATATTCTATCTTTTTAAGGAGCTTGTTTTCTCTTGTTATATTTAGTTTATGTGAGGTGGAAACTTTATATTCTACCAACATGTTCATTACCTTTCTTAGCCACTGCAGCAGGTTTGGTTTTCTCTTTGACAGCCGGCTCTGTGAAAACAAATGCAACCGACTTAAAGATATAAAATACAAATTCACAAAATCTTAAAGCCAATTTCACATCGTTTATGTGAAGTAGAAACTGTATATTCTACTAACATGTTACCTTTCATAGCCACTGCAGCAGGTTTGGTTTTCTCTGTTCTTACTGCTGGCTCTGTGAAATAAATAAAAAGGTGCAGTGTGTGTAGTATTTAAATTATGATACAATTGTTGGTCTTAAATGACAAAACAACCACGACCATGCTTCTCTCTTTTTATTGCAGTTGTTAAAGATGAATGAAAGAGAAGATTCCTCAAGATAACCACGGTTCAGTTTAAAGTGGAATCACCTTTCTTTGCAGCAGCAGCTTTGCTTTTGTCAATCGAAGCGGCCGCATCTAGATTTGGAAAATGTTTGGTTGAATTACGTTGGTATTACACTGGAGTGTGTGATTGTGTCTGCGTATTTACTGCAGAGCGCAGCTCAAACTGCTGTCTGTATTATTCGTAACAACACTCGAGCCTTTTTGAAAACCGCAAATTACTGCTCCGTAAACATAAATTACCTTTCTTTGTCTTCTCTCCGGCTGCTGCTGGCTCTGAGGGGATAATCGGAGGGGAAGGGCCATGCAGAGTTAATTTTGCATAATGAATGCATCCATACAGCACATTGTGTCATTGTACATCACTGCTTAATGCTGCAGCTGTAGTTATTTACTGAGAATCCTCGACAATGAGTGGATCTGGAGACACACACGTTTACCTTTTTCTGAATCAGCAGCCTTGGTTTTCTTTGCAGCTGGAAAATATTACGTATTGATTATTGTTCACAGCGTTAATTAAGAGAAAAGGAATCACGTGTGTGAGTTTAACAACAAGTTACCTTTCTTGGTGGAGGCCGCCTTCACTTGTTCCTCAACGGTCTCTGGTTCTTTAAGAGAGAAGACTTATTAACACGAACTATTTCTATACCTTGTGCATCCCAGCAGATCAAAGATATTGAGAATGTATAAACCAATTTGCATGAAAATGAATAGTTAATGTTTCTACCATCAACATATTCTGACTCTAACATGTAATCAGGAAACCAAAGGGAATGAAAAAGAGAAATTTGATGATAATGATTTTTTTATGTTCAGAGAAATGAAGATAAAAAAGAGATAGATTTCCTTCCAGAGTGGTTTCTATAGTGCATTCAAAATAAAATGTCAATTAAAAGGAGATAAACCCTTTAAAAATAAAGGTCAGAATTGAATTAATAAAAACATTATTTTTAACACTTAAAAATGTTAATTATGCATAACTTATTTAGGAATAAAATCTTCTTTCAGTCTAGTTCTTCTGTGCTCAGTTGTACAACTTTACCTGGTCAAATCAGATAAAAGGTTGCGGTCTGCATCTTAGGTATTTCTTGGACCATTTTCTTAATAACTAAATATAAAATGATAAAGGTTTTATATGTCTTTGAGTGACACACACAGACCTTTCAGAAGACTGTATACGAGATAATAGTTCAGCCATATCGACTGAAAGGTTTGAATCTGGAGGTACTGAATAAGAAGAATAAAGTGAGTCTTCTCCTCTCACCCTGGACTGGAGCCTCAGTCAGCTGAGCTTCAGCAGCTGGAGTCTGGATCTCCGGCTGAACGGGAGCCTCTTGCTCCGTGGCTTCTGGCTGGGCCGGTTCACCTGGTGGGACTGGCTGTACCGGCTCCGCGTGAGGCTGCATCACCGGCTGCATCGGTGGATACGGTTGGTACTGCGCGTAGATCGGCTGCATCGGCTGCATCGGCTGCTGCTGGTAAAGAGGCGGCAGTGGTCCGGGATGGACGGGGTGAGCGGTCAGAACAGGAGCAGAGGGAGCTGGGAAAAAAAAATGTATGATGTGCTTTTATTTTCCAGAAGAAGAGACTGGAAACATCGTACTGGTCTACACAAATGAAAGTAAAGAGTCTTTCACTGATATTATACACTTACAGTTAATATGACAACATAAATACCTGACATGGTCGGAGGAGGGTACGGGTTGTCTGTGACAATGTGATGAACTGGAAGATAAATGTATATTTTGAAGCAGGTTGTAGCTTTAAGATCAGCTGTTTGCTTCCTCTGTGTGATAACTTTACTTACCGTACCAGCCAGGTGGGGCCGGGCAGTAGACCGGTGCCGGTCTGCAAGGGCCAACTGAAACAGAGCAAAGAAAGTAGATGTAGGTTTGCATACTCGTGTCCCTCCAGAATAAAACATGAAAATAAATATATCATTATAAATATTTTATTTATATTTGTATTGAAACTTTAAAAACCTTTTTGAATTAATAATGAAATCAAATGTATTTTACCTTCTTGTCCAGATTCTGTGACTTCTTCTTGTTTTTTGGTCTCTGTCAAGGAAGAAATGACAAGATGAAGAAAACAACAACAACTGTTATTATTATCTCCACCAGGAGATTATGTGTTCGGTCTTTTGTGTGCGTGCATGCTTGCGTGAGTGTCTGTCCACGGCTAATCTCACATACTACCGGACCCATCAGCCTAATATCTCTTGTGATCATTTATAACGGCACGCTCAGGAACCTCTGCATGTATGTGTTTGTGTGTGTGTGTGTGTGTGTGTGTGTGTGTGTGTTAGAGGTGCAGTAGATCATAGAACTCACGATTCAGAACGTATCACGGTTTTGAGTGACAGATCGGATCGGCACAAAAAAGGAAGCAAATACAACTTCCCGTTTTTTTTGCTGCCAATACCGATTGCCGATCATTGATGATCCATATTGGTTAATACGGATCATTGTTGTTGTTTTGTTTTTGTTGTAGCAGCTGGTCTAAAAGGCTCCGGACTATTTTTATCCACCACCGACCCAATCAACCGCTCTGACGTCAGTGTGAACCATTAAACATTATAAATGTTATCCTTTAACATTGTTATAGTCATCTATAGTGGTTATTTTCATAAAAATCCCTCATTTTTATTGATTAAAAAGAGATCTTGGAGTAAACAGTCGTATGTATGTGTGTACTGTACGTCCTGGGAGATGGATCCCTTTCTGCAGAGGTTTTCTTACCTGGATCGAGGGTCTTAGGACTCTCTGAGGCTTGTGATTTGCGAGATTGGGCTGAAAAATAAAACAGTAGTCTTGACAAAGTCTATATCTACAGTACAATACTTTGACTCTTATCACAGAATGAGTGCAAATGTGACTTAATAGTGGTTAATTCATCCACTTACTTTTTTTGGGAGTCTTGGTCGGAGTCTTTTCCACTCTCTTGGCTTTTTATTGGAATTTAAAAGAGAAAACATCCCATTAATTGAAATTGTGACAGAAATAGTTGCTTCTTTGCACGTTTCTTAGAGTTCAACGTCAATTTAAAAGAATACTTTAACATTTTGGGGAATGCCTTTTCTGGCAGAGAGTTATATGAGGAGATTGATACCGCTCTCATTTCTGTACAATAAAATATGAAGCTAGCTTAGCTTAGCATAAAGACTGGAAACAGGGGGAAACAGCTAGCCTGGCTCCGTCCAGAGGTTACAAGATCCAGCTGCCAGCACCTCTAAAGCTCACTAGTAAGCATGCTGTATCTTGTTTGTTTGATCTGTCTTCTGGCTGTAGCCTTACATTCATACCCGTAGTAAGTGAGAGTACCTCTGAAAGGAGGAGGAAGTCTCCTGATCCTCCTGATTGGCTCCAGAACTGAAATTCTGGGCAGAGCTGTATGCGACAACATGCACATGATTAATTCATCACATCACAGTGAGACCCAGGAGTGCACCAAGGAGACAAAGGTGGTGTAAAGACGATGTGTTCAGCGTTACCTTTCCTTTTTGGCTTTTCGACGGTCTTCACAGCTTCGCGATCTTAAAATTAAATACAAATAGAATTACAAACGGATACTTGGAAAATTAAAGGATCTTTATACTTGTATAGTAATGCTCCATCACAGTTATCATTAGCTTTGACTGTAGGTTTACGGTAAATTAATGGCGACTTGTTGCATTACACTCACAGCAAGTTACTGTGAAATGTTACAGTACATTATAGTAAAATGACATCTATATACTGTGACTTCACAGTCAGTTATGGCGTCAAAATACTCTGATAAAGCAGTATGTTGCTGTAGTATTACAGCATTGAACTGTGATTTTACAGAAGAAGTACCCATCAGATTATTAAAGCAGTATGCTGTAGAATGACAGTATAGTAATCAAACAATGCCTCACACAGTTCAAACTCAAATTCCCTGTAATAGTCCCTCTCACATTGATTGCACAATACAATTCTGAATACAGCGTATTTGGAGTTTTGTGTGTTGGCTTCAATCAGAATCCCTTCAGTCATAAATACCTTTTCTCCTGCCCAGAGCTGAAACTCTCCTCGGAGCGTCTGAAAACACAAACATGAGATCACACACTTAAAACGACCAACTGCAGCGATGTGCTTCTGCAACAGGCAGACCATGAAACTTCAGTTAATTATGCACATTAAGATACTTATTAGTTTGTATTACAAGAGATGTTGTGTTTCAATATGTAAATGAGATATTATCTAATGGTAACTTTTGGTGAATTTAGGAGAAATTTACAGATGCAACAGTAGGAACACCTAAATGTGTGTTTTGGATCTCTCGATTGACCAGTGCATGAAAAACACTGTTGTTGCCTAAAAACAAAGATGTACATTACAGGAGTGTCTCAAACCTTTTTTGTCCTCTGTCTTGCTGGCGGACTCTTTGGCCTTTGCAGAGTTCATACAGGGACACACTGAAACCACAGCGCACACAGGTGACGTGACAGTGGAGGTAAATGTGACGTAAAAGCTCCGATTGTCTCGGCTCTCTGACCTGCTGGTTCTGTCTTTGGTGCTTCTTCCTCCGGCTCCGGCACGGGTTTGATCACGTCCACCGTGGCCTTCTCCTCGCCGTCGTCGTCTTCATCCTCCTCCTCTTCGTCTTCAGGCTCGTCCACAGCTTTCTTTAGTTCAGCTGTCGGCTCCTCGTGCTCCCGCTCGTCATCGTCGTCCTCGTGAGCGGCAGGATGACTGGTGACTGAGGGTGAAGGCAGCAGCGTTAGTTGAGTATTAGTATGAAAAAAACATAAATGAAAAATGATGTCATGGCATTTTGTGACCGGAAACTTGGGTAATAAGTTTGGTGTAATGGAGATAAGTGTGCCCATGTTTTGATCTTTAAATCAAATTAAAATAAAGAAAATGTATGCAAAATGATAGTTTTTTATTTCGTTTTATATTATTTTATTTGCACCAATTTGAGGATTGTGGGTTTATTTTTTGGACTGTAGACTGAAGCTGCAGAATGAAACCTCAAAAGCATTTATTTATTAAATGTTTAATTAGCTAAATTATGTCTACAATACAGAAAGGCTACAGAACTTCAGATTCGTCTTAATATAACAAGGTGTAATGCATGACAGTGCGTAAAACAAATGTGTTTGACAAATGTATATTCCACTTTCCAGCTTTTAACAAATATTATTTTGCATTGTAACTGTTTTACTGCTACTAAATTGAAGAAAAATGTGAATTTTAATATTATTATTGACTTTATAGTTTTTTTTATTGTTATTTTCAATGTCTTTAGAACATAGCAGGTAATAATGGATGTGTGATTCTCACCAGTTGTTTGTACTTCAGCCTCCTCAGCCTCCTCTTCATCCGCAGCCTGTTTGGCGTCCTCATCCTCGTCTTCGTCCTGGTCTGCCTCAGTCTTCACTGCCTCCTCCTGGACACTGAACGCTGCTGCAGTGGCAGCTACAGATACACAGTGTGACGTCATTAACTACAGAGCCAGTGAACTCAAATTACTTTCATGTGTATTGTGATGTACGGGGCAACGTGCTGGGATAGGGAAGGTCTTAATATGTTTTCTTTGGCAAGTGACCATGTTATAAGCGGTATAGTACAATTCAAGGTGTCCAAAATAACATTATAATTAATCCTGATGCAATATCAATATAATAGGCTTCAAATTAACATATATATACTTTAATAATATTATTACTGCTGTTATTGTGAATACATCTTTTATTTGACTTAAAAAGGCACCGTAACAGTAGAATAAAAAGACATTATGTATCTTATACACTACTCATCCACACTTACTCTCCTTTTCTATAATATATTATTGCTTTGATATATAATTAATATTGATACATCATCGACTTGGAAGGATATTTCAGCTGTTCACATTATCTTTGTTTGATGTCTATAAAGTTAATTTGAATGGACACCTGCCAGCCAATCAGAAACAAGGATTTTCTTTGGCTATAAAGTCTTATGAAATGAGTAAAAAAATAAAAAGTAATCAATAGTACTGGACTCTACCTGCTAGTAAGACTTCATCAACATCATCATCATCGTCCTCTTCATCATCATCCTCACGACCCAAGGACTCAGATATGACTTCTTCATCATCATCATCATCATCGTCTTTTTCAGCGTCAACAAATGTTTCTTTTTCGTCTTCTTGCTCTAAGTTGAACTCAAATGAGCTGGTATCGACATCTTCATCATCTTTATCCTCATCATCGTCGGTTGTGTCATAGATGTCTTCACTGAAGACAGTCTCTTCATCTGTTTGAAGAGCAACGTCGTCGTCATCATCTTCATCGCCCAAGACTCCGCTGTCTGTGCTCTCAAAGGGAGGGAGTTCCTCCTCCTCTTCCTCCTCCTTGTCATCATCATCGTCGTCATCGATGTCTTCTTCGATGACATCATCGGGTTTGTCATCATCATCTTTGTTCAGGTCGAAGTCGAGGTCTTCGTCGCTGAGGTCACTGTCCTCCTCATCATCTTCATCGTCTGCGAAGTGCTCAGAGGAGGCGACGGAGAAGTCCTCGTCTGATAGGTCCAGATCATCATCATCCTCCTCATCTTCGGCAACTTTGATGTCCTCGTCTAGGTCTTCTTCATCATCATCATCAATGTCATCATCATCCTCAGCAACAGGTAAAGGAGGAAGACCTTCTTCTTCAGCTAGTTTATCATCTTCATCATCTTCATCATCCTCACTGGCTGCAAGAACAGGAGGAAGATCAAGCTCCAGGTCGTCATCGCTGTCTTCTGCAATGACGTCGTCGCTATCAGATGTTGCGACACCCTCAGCTAATTTGTCGTCTTCATCGTCTTCATCGTCGTCTTCGTACCTCTCGTCGTCCTCCTCACTGGAGAGAAGTGCAGATCCGCTGACTTCTGAGGTGTCAGTGAACGCATCGTCACTGGTATCGTCTTCGTCGTGTTCGTCTTCATCTTTTTCGTCATCTTCAACGGGCAGGGCTACGTCTTCATCACTGTCTTTGACTTCAACAGGAGCGTCAGACTCAGAATCAGGAGACACCGCCGACTCTTCATCCTCAGAAGTGGAGATAGGTTCTGGAGAATCTTCATCATCATCATCATCATCATCCTCAGCATCAGCTTCTGCAGGTTCAGACTCTTCAACATCATCTTCATCAGCAGCATCTGTTTGCTCTTCCTCTTCCTCATCATCATCATCATCTTTGTCAGCATCAGCCTCTTTCACTTCATCTTCATCATCATCTTCTTCTTCGTCAATTTCAGCTGCAGCTGCTTCTGGTTCGTTCTCTTCTTCCTCATCTTTCTCCACCTCAGCAGCTACCTCCAACTCCTCTTCTTCCTCCTCCTCTTCCTCAGCAGCTGCTTCAAATCCCTCTTCATCTCTTAACCCTTCTTCTTCTCCCTCCTCCTCCTCCTCCTCCTCTTCAAATTCATCTGCCTCTTCCTCCTCTTCCTCCTCCTCGTCTACAGCTTCTGCTCCCTCCTCTTCTTCTTCATATTCTTCTTCCTCCTCCTCCTCCACTCCTTCCTCCTCCTCCTCTTTGTCAGCTTCTTCCTCATAATATTCTTTATACTCCTCATCATACTCCTCTTCATACTCCTCTTCATAGTCATCCTCATCCTCCTCCTCATCCTCCTCTAGTTCTTCCTCCTCTTCTGCATACTCCCCCTCCTCCTCCTCCTCCTCTTCCTCCCCTGCAGCCTCCCCTCCTTCTTCTCCTTCGTTATCTCCCACCTCTTCTTCGTCCTCCTCCACAACTTCAATCACTTGCATTCCTATAACTGTAAGAAACAACAGATTACCCTGAAGCAAGGAGGGGCATGAATGAGCAACTTAAATGTTACTCATCAATATGTATAGTTCGGTAAGCAATGAAGTAATAAGTAATAAATATGCAGCAGTTGTGGAGCAACTAACTAAAAGTGTATCGTACAGCCTCATCACACAACATAATGAGTTAACTTAAAGTTTCAGGAACTGATTTATTTCGCAAAATATTCACAAATTTATATTACTTTAGTGATTTGGAACATTTTCAGAAGTTACGGAGCAACATGATCATTCATTTTGAATCATGTTTGTGTCAACCTGTACATTTAAATACAATATTCTCTTAGTTCTGTTTTTGGTGTGAAATATCTGTCACTTTAGCTGCTAAATGCTCAACTATGTCCCCCGGCTGGTCTCTAACTGTGTCTGGCTGCTGTTTGCTGCTGAGCAAGTATAGTTTTACAGAATGTTTCACAGCTTTTTTTCAGCTAAACAATGAGCTTAAACTCACTATAAAGCGCCGTAAAACTGAGCTGCAGATGTTAACACTTAGTTTGTAAAGTTAGGTTTGAAAAGGAAACTAGCATCCCATCACCCTATCACGGTGAACACATTGAGAAGTTTCCCCGTTCTTCTCGTCTGTAAACAATCACGCTCAAACCAGAGGGGCATACCTTTACTTCGAGAGGGTAGAAATTCTCCTAGAACACAGAAAGAGAAATGTTAATCAGCAACTAAACCAAACTGCACATTTAACAGGATCGAGCGTGTTACTGTTTGGATGCTAATTCACATCAAATACAGCTTTAATAGAAGTGGAAGCAGTTAGTGAGAAACAGACGAGCTTCTTATCAGACGGGTTATTAGGGCAGCAGAACAATGAACACCTTTAAATATTGCTAGTGTTGTGATTCACTGCCGTCATTACTGTTACAAGGGTGAGGGACAGGATTGATTGTATCCACACGTTCATGGAAAAATAATAATCATAAAACACCTTTTGCTTTCTTAATCTTCACCTCCCCTTCCTCCTCCTCCTCCAACCATGTTGAATCTTTGAGATTGTTCATACATCAAGTCAGCATGAAACTCCATCACAACAATGCCCCCCAGTCCCTCAGCCACACGTGTTTTCTATTTCTATGCCTATGAAGGCAGACGATTCCTGCAGTGGCATCATTATCCATCTTTAGGATTCTCACCCATTGATTTCAGTTTATTAGATAATATTCGCCACTTGTAAGGCCTCTACACATCGGCATTATGACGAATAAACAACACGAAAATGCAAAATTTGCAACTGTTGCAGCATTTTTATGATGGAAGGTTCGAATAGATTTGTGCAGGCAGAGGATATGTCTAGGGCTTTTATTGTGAAAGTTAAGAATTGTAAAGGTTGAAACTATTAATAAAGTTTGCTGTAATGGTTTGTTGCTCTACGCAATATAGTGGACATTTTGAATATGTCCCTTCCGCACAACGCAGTTAGTTGATGCCTTTATTTTCGCTGTGAGAAAGCTCAGAAAAATCAACCTTTTTTCGAAATAAATGAGGTCATTTTTTGGCTGCGCAAAAAAAAGTCATGACAAAACAATATTGACAAGAAAAAAATCGCCCCCCTTGTGTGTAAAGACCTTTACAAATGAAAAATATTGCCTGATGAAGTCAAGTGAGTTTTTGTAGTACATGTGCGGTTATGAATTGCATTAAAGCAACAGAATCCCTTTTGTGAGATGTTTGTTTGAGATGCATTTGCTAAAACAATATAAAGAACAACACATGTAATGCAGCGCAGCATGTACACGACATTCACAGCGGCGAGCGAGGCTGCAGCACAACGATGACTGCAACAGGAAATGCATCAAGAAGTTGCATCAGTACAAACCTTTTTTTCTCACCGCGTAGAGATTTCCTAGGAAAGAGGAGAGGAGTCAAATCAAGTCCAAGTCATAATTTGATCAAAATGTTTTTGTGCTTTTCTGAGCTTTATGAGATGCGTGCACTGTTTTGTTTCTCAACCAATGTGTACATTGACTGTACCTTCGTCTTCTTCAGGAGCAACCAGGTTGATGACAAATTTTAACATCACACTGATCACGTTTGTCGATTCCTCCACGGCATAGTTCACCGCCTTCATGGGGTCCGAGCCGATCTTGCTGAGGCCTCCTGGTGAAGCAGGGACACGAATACAGTCATCTAGTTGGACGGAAGTTGTTTTTTCAAACTAAATCCAAACGCATCCAGTTTCAGTAACAGTTTCTGTGCTCTTACTCAAACATCTCCTCAATGCAGACGTTCATCTGCATTGAGGAGATGTCAGAAAACATCAGCTCTATAGCAAAGGGTTAAACTGTGGGGGGGGGGGGATACAGGAGCTGAATCTGGATTTCTGGAATTGATCAATATTCTGTTGGGAACAGGCATCACCCACCTTCCAGTTTAACCACAGCAAAGGCCTTATACTGTACATCACTGCTGTGCAAAAAGCATTTGAAAAAATCCCATTGACCCTCTTTCATCAAGTTATTACTCATGGCTTCTTATCTGATTCTTCTCATCGCATTTACGTTTTTAATTTAGCTTCATACTCAACAGACCGGGAGTCTCCCAGTGCTTAGATATAAACTGATGAAGGAGGACCGGTGCTCCCGGTGCAAACACTTTAGAAACATGGTTCCTTTTCAATCAGGGCAGTTAAAAAGATCTGAACCACTGCAGAAAACTAAATATTGTTCTCCTTATTAAAGACATTAAGTAATGCATATTATCTCTGTCTCCAATGCATTGTTCATCAATTAACTTACAGAGAATACTTTTGCATATTTCAACGTTTTCCGAGCCCTGACTGCAACCAGATCCACACAAGAACCCATCAGGCAAAATAAACGATGTAGAAAAAGAAGAGGTAGCAGTCAAATGCATTTTAAAGGCAGAGACTTCAGATGAGATTGATTTATTATACTTTTGGTAAATCAAGCTCACCTGAAGCAAATGAAAAACATAAATATTTGTTCTACACAAACTAAACTACAAACTGTTCAAAACATTTTGTACATCAGGAATATAATACTGTCAGTATCAGACAGAGATGCAGAAGCTTGCACTGTGAACTGTGCTCTGTTTAGGAGCTTCTAGCATTGATGGCTAATATTAGCAGTCGATGTGAGATCGTTAATAGTTTTTATCAGCGCCTTCAGAGAAAGCTTCCGCTCTGAGGAAGAGGTTAGTAGCAGATAAGGTGCCTTGCCTCTACGGCCTGAATCCTTTAAAACCTTCCTGACAGGAGGTGGCCGACCTGGTTGGATGAGAAACACAGCGGCAATAAGCAAAGACATTGAGCAGAGTGAAGCAAAGAGAGGATTTCCATGATGGTGGTGATGAAGATGATGAAGGTGATGATAAAGATGTACTGATGCCTGTGACATCGTTACATGAATTTAAATCAATACTGTCAGAAAGAACAAAAGAGAAGTTGATATTTCTATTGATATCAACCGATTTGTCGTCCTTTGTTTCAAGGTGAAATTGTGAATATGAATGATATTTTATTCGCAATATTGTAGTCTAAGTTCTACGTTTTGGTTTTGCTACATTATACAGGTTTCTAGTTTACAGTAAGAATCATAATTTAGGGAATAAAGGAGGAATAAAGTCCGATGTTGATGTTAAGGTTAGAAGATTGAGTGGAGGCGAACACAACAGAAATGAATGAAGTTTTAATGTTGTGAGGAGAAATGGAACCAATGCTTGCAACTTAGTAATGCCGCTGTTACATATGAACAAGTGAAATGATTAGTTCTTATCTACAGGGTACTTCAATGTGCTGTACAAAAACATTAAGATAGATAGCGAGCACAAAAAGGAAGAAAGAGAAAGATACAAAAGACAACATTCATGATAAGACAAAATATAACAATTTATAAAAACGTTTCTCCTTTTTTAGAATGAAAGGGAGTCTTTCTTGCACAACAACTGTGCAGGTCTAATAGTCATTAAATGCTCTACTAGAATCCACTTGTAGCTTTGCTAAAAACTTTAAACAATTATGAATAATTTGTTACATTGCATACATACATATCATTTGTTTTGCTTCGTCGTGTATCTTTCTCTCCTGAAACTAAATCTAAATCCTTGGAAATGTTGACGCACTAAATCAAACCTAATGATCTGTAAGTCCAGTCCAAAGCCTTTAGAACAATACAAAACAATCATTTACACTTTGCTGTAGAAAACAGATCTGCTTACAATCTCCAACCAAATGTATATTTCTAGATTTATAAATTACACCATACTGTAGCCTGGATGCTAAACTTGACACCCTGTTTTTGCGGCAACATTGTCCAAAAACCTGTTGGAGTGCCTCTAACTGGACCGGAGTCTCGTATCGAGTTCACCAAATTTCTAACCCTCAAAACCGAGGTGATCTGGCGGCCATGTAAGGCCAGAAGAGAGCCGAATGCACCAGAGTCGGACTGACTTGGCTGGCTGAATAAAAGCTGGTATAAAAATGTATGTTCATGAGATCAACCCGAGAGTTTATACTTTAACAATTCACACCTGTTTCTGAGACGGAGGAGCTGAGAGTCCACAATCACCAGAAGTGCAAATGACCAGCAGACACCTCTCCTCACCTGAAACGGTCTTGTAGTCCATCAGGTCAAACATGATGACAAAAACACAAGACCACGTAATGATTAGAGCCAGGACCAAGATCCAGGCTAGTGGGGAGCTGAAGGTAGAGTGGAGATCATCCGTAAACGTCTTCTTGGGCCCTCGCGCAGCGTCTACATTCTTGCTGTCGATGACCATGGTGGTGGTCGATGACCGTGCTGAGGAGCCAAGAAACTGTGATCAGATACAGTGCAAGAAATATGACCATCAATGGAACAGTTTTTATTTCTTATTCCCTAAATATTCTACATGCTCAACACACTACTTCACATTAATATGCCTACATTGACACAAATGAACACTGAGAGCTGTGTGCCATCATGTGTACTAGAAGTAGAAAAGGTACTCAGACTTTGTACTTGAGCAATAGTAACTTGTGTTGTTATTACAGCCAAACGGGAACCAGTGCAATCTGCTTTGTTTCTGTAGTACGAGACGACAAGTGAACCTGTAGCACTGATAATGGATTAGCTTTGTCGGTTAAACTCAGTCACACTGTGGCTGCTACAGTACTGTCACTGTGTGGTTGTGTTAGTGACGCTCAGGCCACCTGTCCACTCTCTTCACCTCCCTGCTGGCAGCGACTGAAGGTTTCTCCATTACTGCTGACTCAAGCAGCTCGGCCGCATTCTAAACACACACACGCACACACACACGCACACACACACACACACACACACACATACACACCTCTGTCTAACCTCATTACTCTGCATGACTCCCAACAGGTCAGGTCATATACGAGTGATGACGACATGTAAAACCTCCCGGTGGCTACAGTGGGACGGTTGGCGTGGCAGTAAAAAGTATCATGTTTCTCTTACATTTCAATAGTTATCATGCGAGCTAACCAATGCTAACAAACAATCAAGCTGACAATACCCATCAACAATGTACCCTTGGCCATGTTATTAACTCATACACTCTACACAAACTACACAAAAACCTATAGAGATTGCAGTCCCATTGCTTTCGACTTTTGAGGAGGAAGAAGTTTATTTCTAACAATAGTCACAACCGATGTGAGGCTTCCTTGTTGTGGAGGCTGATAGCTCAAGCAGGACATTTCAGTAGTTGTCATAGTAGTCTATGGATGGATTTGACCACGTACAGTCCCGTCTTCCTGAGTCCTCACTTCTCTATTCAGGTTTCTGCACGGAAGTTCATGAAAATCAGCATCAGTCATCAGACCCAAACCACAGTTTGTGACTAAGAATGCTGACTGGTCAATCCATGCAAGACTTCGGTCACTGACAACGTATCTTGATCAGATTTTCAGTTTCGTCATGTTTAACTGTACTAAGGTGAAAATAAGCTCTCCGATCCCTCTTCTAATGATACAGCAATAAACGACTGAAACCTTCACACCATGGCTTCCACTCACCCTTTGACCTTTCCTCAGGTGCCCCTATCAGGCCAAAAATATCAAAATCTTAATAACCAGATTGTCATAAAATGTACTCGTATTGACCACTTTTTGGACGTTAACACTGAGCATTAAAGCATGAATAATGTGTTAATCTTTCCATTCATTTTAATACCTCTGTTAACCAGCACTTTTTAAAAGCCCAACTCTAAATGGTTTTGACCAGCCGTCCATGTACGATTCCTCCTTTTATGGCCGACCTGTCTCCACACTGTGGATGACATTTCTGTTGTTACTCTGGGTATCCATGACAGCTCAGCTCAGAGCAGTCATTAGGAGCTCGTGGTTGCCTGTTCAGTCAGAAAACAGGGGAGTGCAGTCATAACATTTCCTTAACGAGTGCACGGAGCGCAGCCGAGAGACCGCAACGATCCGGCTGGTTGAGTACGGTGTTATAATCAGGTCAGGTTTCCATGTCTCCAGCTAGCATAGGGGTTGTGCATTTGCTGTAATGTTAGTGTTGACACTGCACACTGTCCATTTATAGCATTTAGGATGCAATAATGAGTATGAGGAAATGGATTACAGGACGTGCAGACATCCCATCCTTGATATAAAGCAATACAGAAAAAGAATCACAAAGCCTCGGCCCATTATTTGTAATCTATACAAAAATGTGCACAAATACAAAATAGATGGAATTGGGAAACAAATGTTAGTTTTCCACATCCTTCCACGAGACTTCTTCTATTTTACAGCCACATATTTATATTGCATCTGCCTCACAAACATAAACTCACTTCCCCAAGTATTTCCATAGCAGACACTTTGTAAACAAACTGTCATAACTCCCATGATTACTCTTCAACACACTTGCTGCCAAAAACTACATGAGCAACTATATATTCAATACCTTTTGAACTTTTTGAATAGTCTTTTAAATGGAAATGCATGGTAGTATCAGCGCATTTAATATTTATAAGATGTGATACGTTTTCTTTCTTGTAGGGAAGCCAAGTGCAATTTCCCAATAAGTTCTTATTGTCTGTTATCATGAGACACAAAATGAATTAACTTGAGTCCCAAAATATCAGGTTCTGTTATCTTCACTTAACTGATTGGACTTAATTACCTCAAGACGCCAAATTGTTCTCATGCGTTTTTAAGCACAAACATCTGAGATTCAATAATAATGTTATTTCTGACAGGAAGATGAGATTCCATATTTTACAGCCTGCACGAGTCAGTCCTCATCAAGAGTGAGGAGAAACCCTATAGAGGAAGACATCAACAGTTCTAGAGAATAAAGCTCGCACCACGAGTCTTATTCAGTCTTAATAAATTAACATTAACACCATAAGAGCATCATTTATTAGCGTGGAAGTTCATTCTTGACTCATTCTCTCAACTCACTCACTTTCTCCGGAGCTTTATAACCAAATGTCTTCATCAGCGACAGGAGTTTGTTTTAAATTCCAGAGAAGCAACTTGAACTTGTGTCATCATATTTAATCTTGAGAAAACGCAGTGAATACATTTACATTGCATACGTTGTGAACACAATAAAACAGTCTTCGCTCGAGGATAATCACCATCTCGTTATCTTATTCTAAGAGGCCTGCAGCACCCGCACAGTGTTATTCTTGTTAATCAGCTCTCTTGTCAGGTTTGAAGGTGGGCAGACCAGTGCTGAGGTCATCAAACAACATTTACATGAGAATACATTTAATAACTTGTGCGCACATTTATTTATTCACGAGGGACTGTTCATATTAATCAACATTTCAGTTTCTACCAGAATGAAAACGTGCGAGAGTCAGATCATAAGCATAAAACTATCAAAATTGAATAAATTTGTCTTTTGTACTTTTATAATTTTCATGTGCGCACAAAATAAAGAACTTGTTCCCACAAGATGATAACTTATTCCGACTAGATTATAAATTGTTCCCTCGTGACAATAACTTCTTTCTACAATATAATGAACTCAATATAATGAATTAATGTGATGGACATGTTTCATTATCTTCATGCTAACTCCAAACCCACATGCTACAACAGGTAGCTGTGTGAATGCTGCTCGGGGCACCACAAAGCCTGCAGCCCGGGGGCAGCCGTCCACATTTACCCCAACTGTGACTGATATCGGACCCTTAGGCCTCTGTGACACATGCACATTCAGAAGTTCAGTCCACATTCACGCACACACACACAGAGAGCAACTGTTTCAGTGCTAAAATCAAAGTTTCAGAATAAATAAACTGTCACTTTAAATGGTTAATTTTATTCCAAACTGTTTACTTTTTATCTTTCAATAAAGTTCTTCCATAAATTAGATACTGACGCTCAAACACAAGGTGTTACTACTACCAGTCTCCCCGACCAATGCACATAAAACTGCTTCAGTTACTGGTTACACGTAACAAGAAGTACAGTGTTGATGCTGACTGACTGTAGATGTCACAGGGGTCTTAAATCTGCATTACAAATAGCAGACAGATACATGATAGCGCCATATTTTTAGATACTTCCAATCATGAAATTCCCCTACACACCAGACAGCAAAACATAGGACAAAACAAAACACAGTGAAAGAGCTTAATATATATACATTATGGCAGGCAGCCTTTATGTAATAAAGTGTTGAAATTTAATAATGTACTTTACCTTCAACTGCTTCAGTCATAGTTACAGAACGGTAAATCCTTTGTGCAGATTAAGTCGCCATGAATACAAATATTTATGGTAGATCCTCAACTCCTCTGCACGCTTTTTAATCCCAGTGTTTAATTCCAATCTAGAAACGTCTCGTGAATGACTGGTTATGCTGAAGTTATGCAGGAAAAAAAGAAAACCCAAACTGGTAACGCTACACCTCTTCTCCCATTCTCATTTGTCAAATCTGTGTTTTTCCAAAAGTCAGACGCTTCTCATGGGTCCAAAGGTGCCAGGTGGTCCGGAGAGCTGACTTCCGTCCCAGTGGATGAGGCCGGGGAGACGGACAGAGACCAAGTTAAGGTGGTCACTGTCTTTTGCCCTTTGCCTGGTTGGTGCTCTGGCTGTAGCTTTCCCCTCCCCTCTACCCGCTCCGACGGAATTAGATCGACCACGGGGACAGACGGGCGTTAGAAGGGAAACAGAGGAGAGAGAGCTTCAAGGTAACTTTATCCCACCAGCCAGGGTTGCTGCTGGAGTCACGTGATCACAGTGTGGACATTTGTTTCACACTGCTAAATGATCAATCTTATTGTTTCTTTGTTGTTGATTGGTCTGAATAGAATCTAATTGGGTGCTGTTACATTCACGCCATGTTTCTGAGCCTCGGGCCCCGAGAGTTATTCTTAGAGCGGCTCGCTGCTCGCTGGTATTCTGCTTTGCCTTTTTAGGCCAGAGGCGTGACCTTAACACCCCATCCTCCCAGCTCCCCCCCACCTCTATGTTAACTAATCCCCCTCCTCCAGACTCCACCGCCCAGTGCAGAGCTGTCATCAAGTGGAGAGAGAGAGAGAGGGAGAGAGAGAGAGAGAGAGAGAGAGAGAGAGAGAGAGAGAGAGAGAG